CCATTGCCTACAATTTTTCCCATCAGGTCAATAGTTGTAAGATGCGATATTTGCAGACATTTATCGGCTGCTGTTTCAACCAGTGACGCACACCATCATTCCATCATCCTTTTAACCCCTTCCTTGTCTCTCCCGTGAAAAGGACGGGGTGAGGTTTCGCCCTCTATTTCTCGCTCCCGTGATATTTCCGGGTTGGAGTGTTCAGTAGTAACGTGCCAATAAGAATAAATCTAATTCATTTTTTTTTGCCCCGAAAACATTTTATATCTCATTTTTCAGACCAGATGGCAGTACAAGGATATTTTAAAGGTAATTGTAGATAGTGTATTTTAAACTAGATGTCAGCAATAATCAAATATGTGTATTTGTGAGATGTGATAAAAAATAGGCACTTTTATGGCTGTTTTGACAATTAACCGATCGTTAAGGGGTTAAAATATTTGTTCCACTGCGATGCTATTTTGATCGCATCGGAGTTTGGAAATTCATTTGGGGATAAATCTGTATCATAGGGTGGGTAACTCAGGACTTCTCAGAATATTCTAAAAAAAGCACCTGTCATTGGCTTGGTTTAATGTTGTTGTGCAACACAACATGACTGATCCAGGGAATTCCCAGAAACTTTCGAATTAATTAACTCACTAAGCATTGTTAACGTTTCCCGAATATCACTTATGTTGACTTTAACTTCATGGAATTGACAAAAAATAGTCTTTTTTTTCGGTCCCTCCATTGCCAATCTATTTGAGAAGCATATTGAATGAACTGACAACTTCTCAATTATCACCATTCATGATTGTTTTCGTGACAAGTATTATCATGTTGCATTAAGAAAATTATACTCTCAGAAATAAAATGATGATTATTCTGACTATTCAGCAATCCTTTACTGTATTTCCTTAATTTTGAGCATCATTTCATCCCCAAATCAAATCATTTGTGACTAAACGTTAAATTTCTAATGCATGAACAAAATGTTTCTTCAACTCGAAACCTCATTATAATGAGTTGCGGAAGATTGTTAACTAGAATGACGAAACTAGAATAAAGACTAGACAATCGAAAATAAACTGACGAATTACGCTGACCGGTTTGTATGGTGGTCAAGAAGTTGACCTTGTACCAGAAAGATCTGGAGTTTGAATTCCTCTTTGGGCATGGGTGTAATTTATATCCTGTTCTAACTATCCTTGTTTTGCTGTTCCTCCTAAATGACACACATGTTAAAGTGATTATTTGAAAAGTCAGGTACATAGAGCAATACGGGTTCTTTTTTCCGGAAAAAATAGAATGACTGTCTTTAATTTTGACGAAATTTATTTTATCAAAGAAGTGGCAATATTTATTTCATCACTTTGACAAAATCTTTGCTCGGTGCATATACCAGGAAACGATTTCGTCAAAAACGAAGAAAGTTTCGTGATGTTTGAGTATTCATTTTTTGCAGAGTATAAAATAAATTTCTTCAAACTAACAGCTGCATTTCAGGCTCATCAAAAGTTTTCTATATAACATAGTTTCAGTAAAAGGTCGTCTGCCACCTTATTTTTTGAATATGTCTAATAATAATTCAAATTTGAGGATAATAATGTAATTTATCCATGCACTTAAATATATAAAGTATCTTCAAAACACACTTTATAGAAACGAAATAGAATTCCATTGGAAATTATTCAAATAATTTATAATTGAGGTTTTTAAATACAAGGCCAAGAAATAAAGACCAAAAGAGAGAAGGTTCTAATCTATGAAAAGTTCCAAATTAAATTACGCTAAAAAGTACTGAGACTCAGGGTGTTAGTGCTCTTTGCCGCAAAGTTTTACGGAACAAAAAAATTCTGATTTCTGATTCATCTGATCTTGATATCTGATTTGCTTAATTGTAGTGATTCAGAGAATTTACAGCAAATATTACTGTAAAAATTACGATAGAAAAATTATTACGGTAAAATGGATTTTACAGGTGCTACCCACAGTATGCAGTAATTTTTACTGCAATTTGATTAAATTTCTTTTGCAATATGGTTTAATGAGAATTAAAAATTGCACAACGGCTTCATACAAAGTTGCTCTTTACTTTAATGATGGGTCAAATAAAACGCTGCGGAATGGTGGTATTTTCTTTTGCATCTGTGATTGATGAAGTGCTGCATGATTTTTTTATTTTTTATCGTGGAACACTTTTTTTAGAAAAAATAACGATAAACAATTTTAAATTAACGATCCAGTGAAAAATGTAGGAGTATAGCTGACGGCTTGTACAACAGTTAATCTAAATCAGTGTTTCTTAACCTTTTTGATATAATGAACCCCTTTTAAAATTTTTTTAAGAAGTCACGGACCACCCCCCTGTGAAAAAAAATAATTGCAAGAAACATCAATTATTAGAAAAAATTCAATTTTATTATTTTAGTAGTATACAAAATTTTTAAAATTAAAATTTTTAATGTGAAGGTTGCTGCTGCTTTTCCTTAATTAATAAATTTAATTGAGGGATGGTTTTCGACAAAGCAACGTGCATATCATGTTCAACATTCAATCGATTTCGATGTTATATATTTATTGTCACAAGTGTGGAAAATTCCGCTTCGCAAAGATACACTATAGCAAACGGAATTATAGCTGCCATAGTTCGATTTACAAGCAATGGGTAGGCTTCCAAACGTTTTAAAAATTAGGAGTAGTCAGTGGACCCCCAAAATATAACTCATGGACCCCTTAGGGGTTCATGAACCACAGGTTAAAAAACCCTGATCTAAATGGTCTAAAATTCAATGCTCTTAGACTCAGTAGCGTCATTACTCAGCATATTTGATTACAATTTTTTAAATGACTAGTACAAACGTATCTTCGAATATATAACATCAAAATACTAGTTTAAAAGTATTTTTATGCATGAATGTGACTTTTTTCCTTTTCCTATTTCTTACGTAAAACTGTTTTTATTAATCAGAGGATTTTTACTTTATAAAAGTTCCAAATGGTCTTTTGTATTTTTGTTTCGTTAGGGACCGTTAAATCTCTTTCTATCTATCCTAAGATAAAGCTAGCTGCAAAAGGGGCATTTAAACACGGCAAAGTCATCAAGTATTGGCTTTTTTCTTGGGAAAGAACTGGTGGTTATAAAACGACTTTCAAGAAGAAGAAGAAAAAAGAATTGATCCCTAGAGAATTTTAAAACAAATAAAAGTTTACGGAATACTGAAAAGATGCGTATTTTTTTCCTTAAAAGCCCTTCATGGGTATATCATGAGAATTTTATTTATTTCTTTAAATATAGTGTGAGTAAGAAAAAGGAGTCATAAAATGCTTCATTATATACAGTTATATGTGCTTTTCTACTTAGAAATAAAAACATAGAAAATTTTAAAACATTTATCTGGTTTCATAAATACATTTTTTTGTGAGAGTTGAAATAATTTAAGATATGAAAGAAACTGAAATTGCTAATATTTGATAAATAGTGATAACGGAAATAAAAAAAAATGGTGATAATGCCGATTAATAAATGGTAAGGATATTAAAATAATGATAGTAAATTAACGACATTGATAAAAGAAAGTATTGATAATGTTGTTGTTGTAGTTCATTTACGTTGCACTAGAGCTGCACAATGGGCTATTGGCGACGGTCCGGTAAACATCCCTGAGGATGATCCGAAGACATGCCATCACAATTTTGATCCTCAGCAGAGGGGATGGCACCCCTGCTTCGGTAGCCCAACGACCTGCACGCGAAGTTGAGCACTTTACGGTAGCACAGTTTAACGAGGACCAATACCGCACACCCTCGGTCCCTACGCAGACTGATCCAAGTGGTCACCCACCCGCACACTGACCGCAGCCAGTGATGCTTGACTTCGGTGATCTGCTGGGAACCGTGTCTTAACGATCAGTCCACTGCGGGACGTATTGATAATGATAACAAAATAAAGACAATTAGGATAAATGTTACAGAATCATGCTATTATTGTTTTTAATGAAAATTAAGGTGGTAGAGTCTTTTGTTTATGAACGCTCAACGACACTATAAAAAAATTACGGTCAGTTAAATTTTACCATAAAATCCATTTTAATTGGAGCATATAACGGAACGAAAATTCTTATGCACCGTAATTTTTACTGCAATAAATACCGTGAAATCATTTAATCACTATAATTAAATAAATATTACTGTAAAAATTACAGTATAACATTTTAGGGTATAATGATTTTACGGATGATGCACCCAAAACGCTGATACTTTAAGCTGTAATTTTATCCGTAAATTTTTACAGTGGACCCCATGATCACTTGGCATTAGTTTTCCTTTTTTCTTTTATTTCTTCGAATATTGGAAATATTCACGAATTTATGAACAAAAGAAAAAAAAAACATTATGCTTGCTAAATTTTATTTTGTCTGCGTTTTCCAAAAGTTTCTTTCTTTTCAAACTCTCTTTCCGAACGTTTTTCTTATATATCTTTTTTGACACATTACTGAACATAATTATTTTCCTCAATAATTACTTTAATTATACAACATTTGAAATTAAGGCTTTATTGCCGTAACAAATATGCTGGGTTAACCTTGTAACTTTATTTTCGTTTTTTTTTTCTTTTTCTTTTTTTTTAAAATTTGTATTCAAATTTTGGTTGCAATAAAAGCTATTTATGTACTTTTCACCAAAGTGATTATTTAGTAATAATGCAAAAAGTTATTTCCTAATTTGTATTCATTACAAATTACATTCCAAATTTGTATTCATTACTTTAAGTGTATGAGTCGACTGGACACAGTTTTCACAAAGCTAACGATTGTTGAATAATTGTTGGGAGCTAATAATCGTTGAATAATTATTGAAAGCTAACAATGTTGAATTGTTAGATTTCAACAGTTATGTTAGTTTACTGTTATGTTCAAATGTTAGCTTTCAACTGTCTAACAATTGTTCGCTACAACAATTGTTAGTTTTTAGCTGAAATTGTTGAAATCTAATAATAATCATTACTTATTCCGCAGAAGGACGCTACAGTGTGCTGCCGAACGGAGAACTACTTATTAGAAATGCCATGATATCTGACGGTTTTAAAAGTTATCGTTGCTTGACAAAGCATATTCTTAGTGGCGATATTCAACTGAGCTCTACTTCTGGACGATTGATTATCACAGGTAACAAAGTTTAGTTCATAATCAGAAATTTTATGAGGAAGGCACAATTCTTGCCCAGTTTGGAAATATTTTTAATGCTGTGTAAGATTCATTGATTGCTTAGATCTAGCTGGCTTTCATATTTAAAGCCTTTAAGTTTTGGAGTTAATTTCAAGTTAATTTATTTATTAATTTAATTTTAATGGTTAAGCTGAAGTATACAATGTCACAAAAAATATACAGTTCATTATTGTTTTTGAGATCCAAATTTAATTGTTTAAGCAATTATGCGCAGTTATTTTATTTATACAAAACTTTAGAAAAAGTATAGAAAAACACAATCAGCATTTAATTAAAAAAAACACTGGTTTTAAAGTTAATGAAATCCTCATAGGGCTTGTAAAAATGTTCGTAAAAAATAAATAGTAAGCTGAAAATGATACAAAATCCGTTAATAAATACATTTATTAGTTTTATAAATTATTTTTATTTATTATTCTTACATAATAGTATGATTAGTTTATTATTTGTTTAATTATAGGTATGATGAAGACTTTTACGTCATAGTACGGAAAAAAAATGAGGTTAAGCAGAAATGTATGCGTCATGAAAATAGATTTTAAACACACAAGTTGTCTCGATTATGTTCAAGTATTTTAAGCCGTTTCAATAAATATTCCCTAACATAGAATTAAATTTGGAAAATCTTAATAACAAATAATATTAAATATAAAATAGGCTGGCTAACTATTGGAACTACTTAAAAAACTATTTTAAGTTGCAAAAACCTTCATTAGCACCAACATTTAAAATGATTTATGATAATTTTAGTACAACTTATATATTAAAAATAGCTCGTACATTTTAAAAAAATCCAATTTACGTTTTTTTAATTAAGCAAATATAGTTAAAGGCATAAGACAAATGTAAACGCATATTAGAAGCAGTTAATTTTCAGTAGCTAAAAAAATTAGTAAATTTTTTTCTCTGATATGTGTATTGCTTTATTTATTTCTGTTATAATTCAAGTGAATATTCCTTAAAGTACTTCATACCATTAAAAGAGGTTATATTGTTAATCTATATTGCTAATCTTATATTGTTAATCTTATATCGTTTTGTAGACATCTTGAATATTTTTCTTCGCTGTCTTTAATGCATATTTTGCTGATTCCGAGTTTGATATTCTTTTCTCATGTCTGTTGATACGTTATGTTTGTGTGTCGTCGTTATTTGCTGAAATACGAACTATTTTACAAAAATAATGAGAATCAACACAAAGAGCCAAGCAACGAGGTGTAATCGAAATATTGCAATAATTTTAAAATACGATGTAGGAGTTGATAACGTTCATCCTCCGTTTTTTCAAACTCATCCAAAAATGTATCATTAATTTTGCTGCTTGTATTGAAGCTGGCATTGTATGCGTTGCTGCATTATAAAGATGAATTTTAGAACTGAAATTAGGGTACATCGTGTTAAAAAATGTTATGTGCAACAGTTTTTAGGAAATTATATTGTATCTCAGATTCTGTTACTAAAGTAGCTTGGTTTACTAAGCTACTTCGTTCCTATTGAATTATTATTTCGTTATTGGGTCAAAATGAAAACATGTTAATGCTGATTATAAGCATTTATATTTGTTGTAATCCTTAACGAGATTGTATTGTTGGGGAACGGTTATTGTCCTGTAAATAATAATGAAACTTTATTGCATGAGGTTCAAGCCACATAACTTTGATTTCAACTCATATAAATTCCAAAAAAAATATTTTTTGAATGGCTATTTTTGTTTGTGAAAGTTGAAAAACGGGTAAAAAAATTACGACCTGGGAAAAGTATAATGCTTCCTAAATATGGAGCCATACCTAAACTCCAGGAGAAGGCGGAATTACTGTCCTTGCCACAGTAAGACTTGCAGACGCTATTCTTTCGTAATAAAAAACCTTATATTGCAGGGATACAACGTATGAACAAAAGAAAATTTCCATCTAATTTTAAAGTCAATTCCTCGTCATGACATTCTTCTTTTGCAATTCAAAATGAAGACCACATACTTATTTTATTAGTGCAAAAGAAAAAGAATACCATACTTCTAAATAGTATTCATACAAGCTTGTTAACAAATGATATCTCAGAGTAGAAGCCACCGCTGCCACTACAATAGTACGACTTAGGCTTAGCATACTAGATGCTAAGGAATTATTCTACAAGAGGTGAAACTCGCAGGTGTCTTGCATTTCTTTAGAACGTTTATAATATTGGAGTCATTAATACTATAGACTCCTTTGCCACCCGAATTACTGACAGAGAATTCATTCTTGTGTTTGTTGAAGAACTACGAAATACACTATCTACCAATAAGTATTTGGACACCTATGCAAATGACAATATATCTGAGATCCTTAGATACCTCACGCTCTCATTCGGTATATATCGTGTAGGGAACTACATCGGCATTAGTCCCATGCAAGATGCCTACTGCACTATTTCGGATGACAGTGTGCTTCCTAAGTTGTGGCAGTTTTACGGGGTGGACCCCTGTTACTTGCAGGACGACATTGCCAGCTGTCATGTTGCGAGGGTCACCAAGGCTTGGTATGGTGCCAATGGGGTTAATTGAATGGACTGGCCTGCCCACAGCCCAGACCTGAACCCTAACGAGAACCTCTGGGACGAGTTGCATCACCGAATTAAGGGGTGTACTACTCGTCCGAAATCGGTAAATTGAACTTACATGTTTTCTCCAAGTCGAGTGGAAGAAAATACCACTAGCCGTCACACAAGGACTTGTGTAAAATATGCTCTGGAGGGTTCAAGCAGTAATTGCCTCTCGTGGAGGCTCTACCAACTATTGATTATGAAGAAAGTTTGTTCTTCTTTTCAATCGCACGTGTCCAAATACTTATTGGTAGATAGTGAAGAATAGACAGCCTCTAATTGATAAAATTTAGTATCTAAAATATACGAAACATGACTTTATTTTCGCAAGGCACAAAATAAAAATAATACTGGCCATGAGAAATTCTAGAAAATAATTCCTCGATGTTTTATAGTTATTTTCACGTCTCGTGGATATGCTGTATATAACTGCGCTAATGCCTAACTAATGAAAAAACTTAACATTCTAAGATGTGCTGAGGGCTAATGAATATTATTTATATTCATTTTGTTTGTTTATTTTCGTATTACTTGTGATCTTGCGAAAGAATAATCTGCAGCACTATATTACATTATAATGTAATATTGCCATTGCGTAAATGAAAGAAAATGAACAAAATAATTTTGAATCTTCAAAAATCATTACATATTGTATTTTCAACAATATTCGTCATTTAAAAATTTGTGGCGTAACTACCACTACGAAAATTAAAACCTCAATTCGCTGGTATATAAGACATGCTAACTTGATTCAATCACGAGGTACCTTTTGATAGATGAAGGTTGGCATGGTCGATAACTCCGCCCCCACATTGGTGACCTATGGACGTGATTTGTACACGCAGTAACGCTCACTTCGCAAAATAACTTGACGGTAACGCCTATTTCGATGGATAGACCACATTAAACAGTTGACTTGATGCTTGTGACTGTGACCTTATCCACCTCCTCACGCTATTGCTGCTCAGTCTCGTCTCGATCAAACACAACGTCAGCCAGCATACACTCAACTGCTAATGGCAACACAGGAGCGACTACGACTTTGAAGTTGATACACCTCTCACTTTCAGCACTCAAAAACCCAGTGACTCTCTCTCCCGGTCTTTCATAAGTACAGCAACCAGTCGTATCCGTTCATCGAATTTTATCCCTGATTAAATTCTGGTGGGGGAGTATTGTGGTTTAACCACTACTACGAAAATTAAAACATCAATTCACTGGTATATAAGACATGCTAACTTGATTCAATCACGAGGTACTTTTTGATAGATGAACTCCGCCCCCACAAATTCATTTACTTTGAATAAACATCAACTTCTTATGAGTTTCAAACTGACCACAAATGGCGGTTTTAGGTAAGTTCAAAATCCGGCTGTTCTAGTGTTAAAAATATATTTTAGAAAAATAATTATCTATTGATTAAAAGGCAAAAATTTCTTTAATAATTAATTCAACTATTAGAAAAAAAACACAAGTTTATGTATGAACATTTAATTTAATCTAGTTTCTCGTAACACTCTGAAAGAAATATTCACAATATAATGATGTCGGGTGGGAAAAAAATGTTTGTTTGATGTGCTTGCAAAAAACTGTTTTTCATTTTACTATTTATTGCTTCCATCTTTTAAAAAAGATAAGAAATAATGTTTTCTTTTTGGAAAATTAGCGTGCTTAAAATGTGTAAAAAATGCAAATTTATGATACGTTTTCTATATTTCCTTATATTTTTTTGTTGATTCCTGTTATTAAGGATTAACGAAGAAAGACGCTAATGAGATAGACGAAAGAAAGAAACTGTAATTAAATAATTTTTTCAGCATCTTCTGAAAATGCAAAAGAAAAAACCAATTATTCCAAAAGAACTGATAAGATGCCAAACAGATAAAAGATTAAAAGCTCATTACGATGGGAAAATCGGGAATGTTTTGACTTTTAAAGCATTCTTTAAGGTATTTGTTTGATAATTAGTTACAAATCTTTTCATATTGAGCGAGTTTAATCAGGTTGAAAAATTATGACAAAAATACATTTTGACAAACAATTGCGCAAATTAACATTTTTAAAACATTTTCTTTTCCTTCTGCTAATAACCTCGCATTCTGATAAAGCATAATTAATGAGGGATAGTAGATATAAAGTCGAATTAAATTTTTGTGTTCGGGGAAATGAAATGTTTTATGGAGTAAAATAATTGCCAACTTCTGTAGGACTTTTAAAATCGCAAAATCAATGAAATATTTCCATTAATTAAGGTCATGTTTTTCATTTTGATTAAATAAATTTCTTTAAAAAACACAAATGTTTAGTAAATTGTATTTCCGCTAGTATAAATATTTATTATAAGCTAGTTTATTTTTGAA